GTTTCACTTCTACCAGGTGTACGGAACTGCACATTTTTTTATAATTTAATGAGTGTCCTTTATTTTCAAATTAATTTAAATACCATTTGATTAGTATAAATTAAGATAAATAAAAAATAAAAAAATTATTCGTATTTTTTACCTTGCAGACTTTAAAAGATCTTCGTAAAATGAGGTTTCCAAATCTGAAAAAATCTCAAAATTTGTGCATCCGATATCGAGTTATAAACCGTAGACCCACTGCCAAACAGTGAACGATAGTATAATACCTTCTGAGATTTTGGTAATTATGCATATGCTCGTCAACCTGCAAGAAAATTTAGCGGGTGACTGCAGGACTTGCGCCGAAGAAGTTAATTGTTTATTGTTAAAAACAAAGACGAGCTTTGGAATGATATAGTATAACGAATGCCGAGCATACCAGTCCATATTTATGAAATAAAATCCATTGGAAAACGATCATCATACGGTGTAAGTGAGATCTACTGTACTCAGATTCTGGCACAGTCACTTCTAAAGCCTGTAACAGAGAGTGCAGTTTGGTTTGCAAATTTTCCTTATCGCTCTCATCACTTATCGGACCAGTGCTATACACGTTTTTGTCAAGCTTCTTATGTTGTTACAGTAGACTCTTCCTTGTTACGTACACTTTTGAGCTCTACTTCTTCTTTTAAGGTCCGATTTTCTCTAGAAATCTCGTTTACCATGACGGAAAGTGCCTTGGTTCGTTTTTTTTCTTCTTCATACATTTGGCTGATAAAATCCACAGATTTCCTACACTCACGCATTTTCTTCTGTAAGTCTCTGATCATCTCTTTTAACTCTAGCTCCTCTGTATTTCTCGATGGCGAAGATGACTGTTGAGTCACAAGAAGCGATTTGCGTTGTGTTTTTCGCAGACTGTCGATTTCAATGTCGTTCTCGCATAGGGGACACCTCCCGCTTTGTTGTCTATCATTATTCTTGCATCGACTTCATCGACTTTTCTACATCTAAGGTGATAATAGCCTCTACAATCTCCGCATAGCAACTTTAGGCTAGAATTTGTTATGCTTTGTTCGCACTTTTTACAATGCTTAAGATTAACCATGACTATGCCGGTAACAAGACGCGTCCGTCGAACTACAGAACTACCTATGATACCTGGCCAACCTGCAACGTGCGAACACTGCGAAAACTTTCTTATCCCAACAGAATGTTTTATTTTCACTTAAATGCACGGTTTTTTGTCACTAAAAATCCCGAAAAACGTATATTAGATGACAGTAGACTCGTAAGATTTTTATTTGAACTTCAAAATTCATAAATTTTTAAAATCTTTGGCAAGAGCTTCGAAACTGTTGTTAACTGTCCCATCAGCATCAGCCTTGCACCCTTTGAAATGTATGAAAAAGATAAGAGTGAGAGAACTAACAGATTTTTTTTTTAAAATTAATTAAATTCCATCATCCCAGCATGGGTTTCTTTCAAAACGCTCAACAACTACCAACTTGCTTGAATGTTTAAATGACTGGTCAGAAAAACGACCCACAGACGTGATTTTCCTGGACTAGAAAGCCTTTGATATAAGCTGTTATGTGGAAAGTTGGAGCACTTTAGATTGCGTAGAGAATTGCTGGCAGATTAGAGGGTCGTTGGATAGATGATACTACCAAGTTCAGGTAAATAGAGTAATGTCAAGCAGACACTAAGATCAGAGTGGAGTTGTCCAGGGATCGGTGGTGGGGCCACTGTTCTTTACTGCCTATCTATTTGATCTTGTTGATCTGATTGGAACTATACTGAAAAATTTTGCTGATGATGGCAAACTTTATGCAAACCCACTACTCAATGCGAATCGACTTCAGGAAAACTTAAAAAGGGTTGAAAACTGGTCAGGGATGAAGGGTGCTTAGAATTGGCCCAAACAATCCAAACCACGAATACTCGTTGAATAGGACAGTTCTTTCAACCAAGATCCTTTGTTTATTTTATTAAACACGCGTTCAAGGATAATTCAAGAGATTATTCTATTGAGATGATAACAGAGCTTTATAAAAGCAGGCCAAACAAAGCTAAAGTCTGTTTTTTTTTAAAGATATAAGTCAAAATGACATTATGTTGGCAAAACAATGTAAAATTGTCAATGCTTCAAATTTTTTATGTAGAAAAGTTTTGTGTTGCCAACATAGTTACTAAATTTTTGACTTGGGGAATTATCTTCAAAAAAAAACATACTTTAGAATACGCTTTAACAGTGTGGAACCCCTATTATATTAAAGATATGGAACCACTTGAAAAAATACAGAGAAGAGTAACCAAAATACCAACAGGTTGACTAGTGCAATGGAAATTATTGATAATTTTTGGGAAATTTGCCCGAATGCATTTTGAAAAAGAGCACGAGTGCACGTAGTGCACGAGTGCCTTTTTCAGTTAAAAACGCATGAGTGCAAATTTGTCGCAAATTATAAATATATTTCCATTGCACGAGTTGTATTTAATGAGAGAATTTCATAAATTAAAAATTTAATTTTTTTGTCAAAAAATGTCAAAACACCAGTTTTCGCACCAGTTAGTATGCAATTATCTGATAATTTGCACTAGTGCAAATTATCGCGTAATTACAATCTGATTGGTTCAAATCAACAATCAAAACATGTCAATTTATTGTTGGAATACCAGTTTTGACAGATGTATGAAATTCTCAAAGAAATTGGACCAGGTTCCAGTCAGATTATTAATACATAGTTATTTGTGTATCAAGGGAATTATGAGGGCGTTAATACCCCAGTTAATTGCCCGTGGGTATTAACACCTGAAAATTAATAAAGAAAAAAAGCAAGTTTAAACAAATGCCACGTGACTGAAAACGCCGTCTCATTGGCTAAAGCCGATATTCCTGATTTTGTTGCTACATTTGAAAATACGAAATTTAAATGAATTCAACGATTATACCTTTCCTTTATTTTTTTTTTTAATGTAGTAAAAGATGAAAATAGTTTCAAGGAAATTCGGCATCCTCGCATTTTCCGGAAAGTGCGTTAGTTTCCGAGCCCTCGTTTTCACAGCAGTTCAAAAATTCGACTTTCAAATCGTTTTATTTCCAAAAATTAGCGTTTTTTTTTTTTGAAAAAAAAAGGTATAGAGTTGTTAGAATGACTAACACAATAATTTAAAAATGTTTTTGAAAAATGCGACAGTGGCCTATTCCATGTATTTTTATACTTGCGATTCGTAGGCCCTAATAAATCAAATAACTTGGACAAGAATGGAATGGCAAAGGGAAGAAAGCTTGGAAGAAACTCAACTCAAATATCTAAAAGTCACAGTCTTCTTCACAATTCTTTAGGTTAATTTTTTGATAGAATATGGATGTTTTGGGAGTAAAAGATTTCGATTCATGCAATGACCTAGTCGGTGATTTTAATTTACTTTATTGAGGAGATAAATCCAGAAGAAACAGACCATGCATTGATCATTTTAATTGATAAATGATGATAGTCCAGGTATTCTTCCTATCTGAACAAACTGATCGAAGACACTCGAGGTTTGTTTCAAATAATTGTCATCCGTCTGCACAACGATTTCATTGGCCCTAACTGTTTTTTTGACGTTTCATAAACAAACCTTATGTGATTACAATCAGTTTGTTCAGATCGAAAGAATACCTGGAATGTTGAAGAAAACAACGCATTTCAAGAAGAAAGTGCCATATTGCCATATCGATTATTGTTAACAACAGTAGTGAACTTGCAGCACAAGAATAAAATATGGATTTTTGAGAACAATTTTAATCCAGAAATTTTCTTCTAAAACAAGTTGAATTCCTAAAACAAGGAAATCAGCAAACGAAAAAATCCACGAATAAAGGAAGTGGGGAAATAAAAAAAAAATATTTGAAAAAAGGGAAAATAAATTAGAAAAATTAGGATTGTTAGTAAGAAGGTTTTAAAAAAATATAAGGTTTCACTAGCAAATTGGTTATGAAGAGACTGAAAATAGCTATTAGTTATTTACACTACAAGTGCGTTTATGAACATACTACATGATTTATATGATTACAATAACCAACGAATATTTCTTATTGCAGTCACTAACATAAGTTCGCAAAGACATTGTCAATAGATAGAAAAGAAGGGACTGCACTCAAAGAAATGAAACCCATAAGCTTCTCAAACGATTTAAACTCGTGCCAAATCTTTGTCAGCAGTTTCCCAAAAGACTCTCACTTCCCATAATTCTTCAAAAGACTTGCCAATAAGTATCATCTACGATTACATAAAAGCTTGTAATTATCACCTTCAAGAAATAAAAATATTAGGTACCATTGTCCTATGACATATAAGCAGGAAACATTACCTTTCAGTCATCGCCATTATATTAATTTCATAATGAAGAATCTAAGAGATAGAAAGAAAATAGTTAAGCCATTATATTCAAATTGTCTACTGTCTAGAAGTGAAGAGATTACAATGCGTTATTGACAACTTGTTTGTATATTCAAATATGGTTATGAGTTTTCATAATGTGAAAACGCGGATATGCGTGTCGATGAAATAATAATTTGTCTATAAATAAATAATGACTGTAGTTGTTAGGCAAGGAATTTTTATATTTGATTGGCTCATGATGACATTTTTCTCGCACATGCATATTATTTGTTGCATTGTGTTCTTTTTCAGTCCAATTTGAGTTAACAGGAGGTGTTAGAGCGAGTGGTAACATTGACCTAAGTATCTACTTATAAAACTACTGAGAAAATATTCGTCAAGCTGTGTGATATTTGTATAAGCAATATATGGAATTTTTCTGGAATCGCCTCAGTTGGAACCACTGTTAGCTCATATTTAGTCAACAAAAACATACTGCACAGTGAAATAACTGAATAATGGACGTGATCAGTTTTATGCACTATATGTATATTAACCTATACATTGACTCAATGCAATACACTCATATGGGCTTATTTTTTCTGTTTACTTTTGTCAACCTATAATAATAAGTGTTTTTTTTTCTAGGGCACAAAACTATGGATTATCATGGAATACTTGGGCGGCGGCTCCGCCTTGGACCTCATGAAAGCTGGCAACTTTGAAGAAATGCACATAGCCATTATCCTCAGGGAGGTACTGAAAGGTTTGGATTATTTGCACAGCGAGCGAAAGCTTCACAGGGACATTAAGGCGGCGAACGTGTTGCTTAGCGAAATGGGCGACGTTAAACTAGCGGATTTCGGAGTCGCAGGGCAGCTTACTAATACCACTAGCAAGAGAAATACGTTTGTTGGTAAGTTTATTTATTTTTTTACTGAACTTACATTCGGGGTTGGTAATAATATTGTGAGTACTGTTGAGTCTTTAGATCAGAGGCCACTATTATAAAAGTTTCAATAACACTGCGACTAGAATTTATTCTATACATAGGTACATTAGGTTTCGTTTTTTTGTTTTAAATACATATGTTAGTTTAATAATTTAATATTCGTCTCCAGCACCATCACCACCTGAATTTTCTTTTGCAGTGGCAGAACCTTTTTTAGGCTGTATCTCATGCAGTACTTTTAAAATTTGCTGTGATAGTTGATTTTTCGTATTGTTTGTATGGCATATTGCTTCGATGCCTTTCAATTTGTTGAGGTAAAATTTTCGAGACTTCTCCAATTCCATTACCATCCTCTGATATTCACAAACTTCACGAGTTAACTTATCTCTTTTATCATATAGATGGCTATTAATAGTAGAAGCTGGCCTTATTAATGATTTTTCCCTTTTTCTTTGTATCAAACCCTTAGGAGCATTAGCACTTTCGTTATCCATTGGAGCTCCACATCTAGCAGCCAAAGCATCGTAGTCGGTTGCACCATAATTATTGGCATTAAAAAATTTAATGAACCACTGTAGAAACTCGAAATTGTCTTGGAACCTCCCATGAACGAGCCGCTCGATCGGAACTATCTTTTCGACGTATGCCTTGTCGAATGACGCTTGCAAAATTTTAAAATTTTGTATGTACTCGTGCTCTAAGTTTGTTCTAAACTTTACCCGTTTTAGTGGTACTGTGCCTGGAAATAGCATATCCATAAATTGACAGTAAGCTGCCCCGGTGCACAGTTCTTCAATTTTGTTAAAATTGCTTCGCAGGCATGCGTTCACCCATGCCAACATGTCGTGTCTGGATAAGTTCTCTGTTGTCACGTTGTTCGAGTATACGTTCACTGCCATGTTAAGATGGTGCTGGTAATTATTGCAAAATTATCAAAAAAATTGAGATGGTTTGTGACACAAATTAATTTGAGATGTCAAACGTTAGAAACAGGAGGTTTCATTATTACCAATCACCTGCCAGGTTTCCGAAAAAGAAAACATTATTGAATTTTTGCTTCTTCTAAAAATTTGAATTGGATTATTTGGATATGAGTGGAATCCCATTAGATTTTAGACTATTATACCGATATTCCTTTCAGTTAATTTATCCCAATCTGTTCAACAAAAACATTCTGATGGCAAATATTCAAAATAGAGCATAAAAAATATCCAGCCAAATATGGGCTCTAATGGTATTGCCCTGGAATTTATTTATCATCATCCAACTCCATTAATATGCATATAGTTCTTGACCCATCATTAGTAAAGTTCACACTTTGGCATTAAAACCATTTTATTTGATGGTTTTCCTGGCATTTTGCCTTGCTCATGGATAATGAAAAGTAAAATAATAGGTTTATGGCAATGTCAATGAAACACATTTTTAGATTGCTGACGCCATATTATAGTCCCAGTTTGTCGTAAAAAAGTTCTTAAACTTCTAAAACCAAACAGTCTGTATAATTGTGTAACTTGTATAATTTATCACCAGAAAGTACATACATGCAAATGTAGTTTTTTTTTATCGTCTATATTTTTGCCTTTTACATGCAAATAATTTGCATTTATTAGCTGCGCTCCAATACTTACGTGCCCTGATATGAAAATTTAATGGTTTACCATTACTCAAACTTAAATCTTAACTTATTACAACATATCACAAATATTTTTGCTTTTTTAAATTTGACTACATATCACCACCAATCAGGGAGACTATAACGTTTTACTATGAATAATATCTCGGAAGTTCTCTACATGATTGTAGAATTTTTGTGATATTTTCGATAATCACTCAAATATGTTTTTAATAAATACAGGTGCCTCGGATATTATCTAAATATAGAAGCTCATTAATGAAACTAGTAGGAGCTGGTAAAAGATGTTTACCTAAACACTTATATGTTTGATGATTGTTCTATGTGACACTATTTATTGGGTAAATGATTAAGTAATTATATATGCGACAGAATATGCGCATAATGAAGATACACAGATATAACAGTTCAAAGGGAGCTACACAGAGCTCATCCTTAATTGAGTTCTTGAAAAAATAATAGCAAACCCATTAACTCGCAAAATACACAGGGTCATCCAACAAGGATCGAACAGGGGCAAATTTTTTACTCTACCTGTATTTTTGAGGAAATGCGGCTTTCGAGCCATTCCTATTCTGAATCTTGATTTATTTGTCTGGATCTTTTTGAGCCTATACAAATATCTCAGTTCAGTCATAAACTGAGATATTTGTATTTTTTGCACCCGTTCTATTTGTTTTTCATTTAATGTGAGGAAAGGAGTGTTTGGATTTTAACTTATAACCATGAATTTAGTTTTTACGGTGTTTATGCTGAGTCCTACTTCTTCACACCCTCAGTTTACTGTCTCTAATAGGGTTTGATAATCTTCTGCACTCTCAGCCATTATAGAAGGAATAATCGGCGAATCTTAGGTTTTTTATTAATGTTCCTCCAATGTTAACTTTCTCGCGTCTCTCTTTTGGCGCTTTCTGAAATACAAATTGAGAATATAGATTAAACAGTTGTGGGGATAGTACTCTTTAAGTTCTCTATGAGTTTATCATGTTAAACAAAACTTTCTGGAAATCAATGGAACAGACATACCTATACACTTTTGTTGTATTCTCTACTTTGCTATAGCAGTACTGTGATAGCAGATAATGCTTCTCTGTTTCCTAATCCTACTCTAGAACCAATTTGCGCCTCATCTAGTTGTTCTTCACATTTTCGATATATTATCTGTTGGATTATTTTTAAAAGTACTTTTAGTGTGTGACTCATCAAACTGATCAACCGATATTCATCACAGGACCAAGGGTTGTTCTTTCTAGGTAAGGAAATGAAGAGTGATTTGAGCCAATCTTTTGGAATTTCTCCTGTTTCATAGATTTTGTTAAGTACTTTTGCGAGATGAGTCAAGTTTCCATCGTCCAAGGCCTTTAATTGGAATGTTTTCAGATCCAGCCGCTTTTCTGTTTTTCGAAATTTTTATGGCATATTTCACTTCTGATTTAAGAATGTATAGCTGTTACGTCTGTCTGTTTTCTTCTCTTACGTCATCACGTTCTGCTGCAAATAGATTTTTTATGTAGTTTTCTCAAGTCTGTTTTTGTCATCTTCTGCGTCAACTGGATGTTTCTTGTGACCACTGGTATTCTTTCCCTTGTGTTTCCAGTTAATTCCTTCAATTTCTATGTAGATTGGAATAATCATGTTTATTGTTCAGTTCTTCCATTTCATAACATCCATCCATCTTTCTGTGGTGTTCTACTTGCTTTTTCAGTTGTGTATTTTTGTCAATAACTGTTCTTAGAGCTTTCCTTCTATAAGATTTATAATTGCCTGGGTTATCCAAGGTTAGCTCTTTTTTCCTACAACTTGTTCCGCGGCAGTCAGATTCGTGTATTTTATTCCAGGCCATGTGAATATATGCAGTTGATGCTTCGGAAAAATCATTTGCAATTGATTAATGATTCGTTAAATTGTGTGATATTGTTGTTCTTGGAACTTTTCTCTATTTATTATTTTTGATTTTGTTACTCGTTAGTCGTTGTAGTCTCACTTTTACGTTGGCTGGGAGCAGTTCGTGGTCGGTATCAGCGTCTACATTTGGGTAGGTTTTGGCGCTCTTAATGCTATTCCTAAACCGCCTATTGATACAAATGAAATCAATTTGGTTCTTTATGATCTTGTCTTCGTAATTTTGTGGTGATGTCCAAGTATTCAGGGTGTCCCACCCACGGTAGATGGCGTATTAGACGTTTATGGAGTACTAAATAGCAGATCATTTTGAAAATTTGGCAACCGGGATAAAATACCAAGATCTATACTTTAAAAATATTTTGACTATGCCGTGTTGCCGCTTCTACTCTAAACCACTGGCAGCATCGATATTTTAAATGGAAAACCCTGTATATTTTTAAATATTTGAATTCGGCATATAATTATGAGCAACTTTCCCTAGTACTTCCCTTATACCTATCTGTCGCCGTTTTTCGGGAATAAATTAATTTTTTTTTTTTTTAACGAACACAAGGAAAACGAAAAAAGGACTTTCAATAAATCTTAATATCTCCCTGCTATAAAACAATTTTGAGCTGAAATTTGGGTTATCCCTGAACAATGCCTGTAGGCATTTGATCTTTCGCTCACATCTTAGTTCAAGTACCTATACAGGATGGTCCAGAAATTAATTTTTGTCAGTAACTTACAAAAATGCCAGAAAAATTATTTTTTCATTTGGAGGAACACCCTATATAATAATACAGATTTGAAAAACTGATAAAACTAGCTTTTAGACTATCTATACTTTGCCTACCTAATTCTTCATGTTTGCGATTTATTAGCGTTTATTCATGAAATTTCATTTCGACAAACTTTCGGTTTTAATATTAATGGGGGAATTTTTTTTTTCTGTAACCATCAAAAAATAAACAACCTTCGTCATATTTTACCATAGCCAAAAACGTCATTTTCGTCACTTGTGATAGAATATCCCATAACGTTACCTCTTTAACTTTCGTCACTAATGCAAAGTGAAAGATTACCATTTTACATGCTAAATAAAATACATTCTTTCCAATCCAATTATAATTTAATTTTGTGAAACACACAATGAAAAAACATAGTTCATCACAAAATTATGTAAATTTTGCTTTAAATAATGTAATAAAAGAAGGTCTTTGAATAAATCAAAATATAGTTATGAAATTATCGCAAAAACCAGAACTTTTGATAGTAGGGATCTGCACCACACAATATTATCAATTACTGTTATTTCAAAATTTTTTTGCACACTTTCTCTTTCACATCCTTCAAACAGCTGGTTATCTCCCCGCCAAGTCCTACCAACCTTTTCTCTTCGTCATTTTCTTAGGTTAGTAGCATAGCATTGGTCGGCAGATCCCTACAGTACTCCCCCCAAATGGAGTGGTATTTTTTTTTTTTTTTTACGGATATGCGCACTCGCAAGGAAATGTCCTATCACGCTCGAGAAGCGGCAAGTGCGCGGAAATGTCGGTGTATGTTGGTCTTGAAACGGTTCAGGTTGTAACCTGCAGGGAAAACCGTCGCAGGGAGTTTATTCCACAGCGATGCTGTTCTCCAGAGATATGAATTCTGATATAATGAGGTTCTTGGTGCCTCTAGTTTGACAGTAAATTCATGGTTACCGTCTGTTTAACGGGTTCGCCTGGTAGGCGCTACTCTCGGTGGAATCATACGTGCCAACTCTTCAGAGCATTTTCCGTGATAGTACCTGTAGAAGAGAGATAAATCGCTCACAGATCTGCGATGTTCGAGACCATCCAAGTTACGAGTAAGTGCGGGGTCATTGATCAGCTTGATAGCTCGTTTTTGCACGGTGTTCAAAAGCATTAAGGTATGTTTGGGTGCTGCACTCCATATATGTGAGCAGTACTCCATCGTTGGTCGAATCTGGGCTTTGTAGAGTAGAGTGTCAGCAATTGGCTTGGTGTGTACAGATGTCTTGTACGAAATAGCACCCCCAGCTTTTGGGACGCCCTTTTAGCAATATCTGCCACGTGATTGTGCCAAGACATGTTGGTCTCTGCAGTAACCCCCAAGATGTTCAACTGACTCTGTAATGTGACAGCACTTCCAGATAGCATGATGCTTGGCTCACCGGTGCTGTTCTTTTTTGAAAACAGAGCTGCTTGGGTTTTCTGTGCGTTGAACTGTACAAGGTTTTTGTTACCCCAGTCCTCTTATCTCCAGGTCGTTATTTATCTGCGATATTTGAGTTAGTCTAAGATGATGGAATTCACGTGCGGAAAGACCTGTGGGTGGTATGAGTGAGGAGACTACATTGCCATCGTCTGC